ATGCTATTCAAATTTGAAATAATCACTACTCATTTGTTTAGAAATTGATTGTTTTCACAATCTAGAACATGAAAATATTTGCAAATAGCATAACCAAGTGTTGTTGGGCTGGCATCATCATAATTAGTAGTTATAAAAAAGTAATGTTTTCCAATGCAGTAATGTTTTATGTTTGCTAAAGCAGTAATGTTTGCCAAAGCACATAATTGGATTATGTGGTGAAAATATTTCCTTTATATTGTACTACAAAAGACCTAAGACTGTAACCAAACTGATATCAGATCACCACGTCATACCCAAATCTGTTTCGATGAATATCTGGACTTCTTCCTGTATAAATTTCAAAGTCGCAATATAACCATTAGGATTGTCTGCAGCAACCCACAGATTTATTCCCCACATAGTAGGTCATCTAGCTTTCATGAACTGCCTAACCCCCAACCTATTTCTTGATTTGACAGTGTGTTTGTCTGCAACAACAATATCCTGTGACGGCTGGTACAGTTGTTGATGCAGTTTATTGCTGTAGTCTTTAGTATACGATCTACCATATTCACAAACGCCATAAGCGCTTTGTACCTAACCCGAGAAATTATGTCTATTATCCACAGACCATGATATAAGGTTTTTACACTCCAATAATTTTCAATCTCACTGTCGACCTTTAGCGAACCTGCATATTATACTAAAAGGCAATCAACCTCTCAAAGTTGGTGGACTGCAAGACCCTTTTTTATTAGTATATGGGGATAACTTTTGAGTTATTTGTATGTGGGCATATGTATTGGTATTGCCAGGAAACTACCTCCTGAAGCATTGAGTCGAATGAACTCAAGCTCACAGTTCATTGAGCCGAATGAACTCAAGCTCACAGTTGATCGAAATGGATCCCGGACATGTCAGTCAGGAGCAAAATCTGGAAGAACATTCCTGGCGTCAGGATCATCATATCCGTCATGTACTATGGGGTGTAGTGGGGATGCTAGACAGGGAGCTTTCGAAACCTTAGGTCCTAATGGCTGGGCTTCCCTCTACCTCTACTCATCCCCCTACCTTCCCTCTGGGTTGGTGAGTGGGTTCTCGTGACTCATCAGAACTCTACTTCCCTGAGGCTATGAAACAGGAACAGCAGATAGGAACAGGATCAATATATTCATCAGTGCGAATAAAAACTTTTATAGACATGGTGCCACTTAAAATTATAATAAGAGCCAACTAGTAAGATATAAGTATGAATACTTGGCTATTATGTATGTAACAAACAACCAAACATGTGCTCAAGGCTCATTTTACTTCGCCTAGGAATCAGAGATTTTTATGCCTAAAACACCATAAATTTTCGTCAACAATATAAATAAATACCATTTATATTTGTCAATTTCAGTATGAAACGATTATTTCAACACAAAAAAGCGATATGAGGACATACTTGGTTGTACTAGTGAAGCTATACTATATACAAATAAATTTACAACGCCATGGCAACAGCAAAACATTGAAATAGAAATTGTCTAGAAATGATACAAATACTTGCCTTGAAACTCCAGACACGACTCCCAATGCCAGGTTGAGATACTTGTCTTCATACGAAGACATTCCATCATTACTAGCACTATCAGTTTGCAAAATAAAGCCAAAAACGTCTTCAGAATGCGATTCGAACAAAACTACAACACAATACATTTCAACGCTCGTGCGTTCCCGTGCGCGATAATCAGGAAAATTGCTCTAAAAGATTTGTTTTTCTGCCTAAGCCAATCAAAATCCGTATTTTGGGTAAACAAACACTCCGGAAGTGATTCCTGCAGTCTTTTACCAGGAAACTGTAATGCTTTACCAAGAATTTGGCGTCCGAAGTTGGCCGAACACTTTCCGATCACGAGAATTGCCATAATAGGCTTAGATTATTTCGCAATTTCCTGAGACTGCTCCGAGCTATAGAATGGAAGATGGCGATTCTTTTGGTATATTTGTTATTATTATACGTTGAAAAGAAGCGAAAAGATGAGCATTTGAATCAGGCGGAACATTCAAAATGCAGCAGCAAAATTGATAATGTGTCATTTGCATAAATTTCACCGCATTGATCATTTCAAGGTAAGAAATTCGCTTGAAATTGAGCGAGAAACAATAAAATTATATGAATATTTCTGAATATATAGTATCGATCAAGCGGAATTTTTTGGTGGTATTTTCGTATGTCTACTGCAAATACTCGCGAAGTTCTTTAATATTTAATCTTCCCGTCATATACGTCGGAAATTAATATTGGCGGATCGAATTGAGTTAAAAATTTCTATAGTCCCAAATTTTCGGATCGACGTGCTTAAATTATCCATTAAAATGAGTCTATCAGGAAACATTATCTTATAGACATCTTGTAGAATGCTGATATCATCATGATCAAGGTAACTTTCTTTGTAGTATGAATTTAGAGTGTTCAAAGGGAATCCTGTGTTCATCTGGTAAAATTCCATTAAATCAGACCATTTATCAGCTTCCAGAAGAATGTTGCCATCTTCGGACATTTTGGAGTTAGTTAGCGAAGACATAATATCACCAAAATATGGGTGAAAATCCTGGTTTCGGGAAATGTTATCAAGACATCGTAACTTTTCGCATCAGCTGGAGTTCGATTGACCTATTGTTTGTCTTTATGCTACCCAATATGCTGTCGTAGCATTGAAAGCTGAAACACCAAAATGAGTGCATTGGGCCAGTCAATAATCACTTCTTTGAGATGGCAATGAAGATGTATTTCCATATAGCTCTTGCATTTCCATATAGCTCTTGAAATACAGCTTCGTTTCCATATAGCTCTTGAAATCTTGTGCAAAATTTAAGAAGGCAATTATCTGCCTTCAATATATCTGTTTTTGAAAGCACAGGTTTGCAAAGATATTTGCAAGCTAACACAAATGTTTGCCAACATTGCAGTTGCTGGTCATTGAGTACACCTTTAAGGGCATGTAAGGAATAAATTAGTCTCCAATTCTTCCACTGCTCTGCTGTGTATGATCCATAATTTGATGATATTTGCTTTGGAAGTCGTCCAATTTCAACAGGAACTTTCAATGCGACTTTTGATAGTTTTGGCGTTGAGGTGACCCTCAGAAACCCAAAGTTTAAATTATTTTTTAGCTGTACCAAGAAAAAGATTATGCATGGTGTCAATTGAGCAGAATCTTGTTATGTCAAAATATTCAAGTTCTAATAATGCACTGTAGTAATTGATTCCATACTGTTTTCTTTTGATCAGATTGTGTCTTGCATTTGGAGATTCTTTTGGCTTGTTGTCTGTGGTCTTTATTTTTTCGTTTCATCCACGAATCACGGTCAAAACCCGAATAATCTCGCTTTTCTCCAAACAATCCAGGGAATTCCTTTACGCATCTTGAACAGCCCAATTGAACACTGTGCCCTTTGAAGCCACAAAGTTTTCGAGATGTTGGGATGTCTGATGAGGTACACAGCAACGCTACTCTAAACACTAGTGGTATTGCACTGAGACTGGATTGCAGCCAAACACCTTTCCATAACGCTTTTAGTTCATTGACTGTCGTTTTAAGAAATTCATTTAAGTGTTTTGGTTCATGACCCATTGCAGGAACTGCTCCAACAACGATAACATTTTCCCACTTAAATCTTTCTGAACGAGGCAAATTTAACAAAAGTAGGTATAACACTCCCACAGAATAGTTTTAATCGAAGTTTAGCATCAATCCATAATTTCTTGGCGCATTAAGAAAGTCTTCATCATTGTACTTCAAGAAATCTTTCCACAACTGGCCACTGTAAATATTGGTTAATAACTCACTGTCATGTCCTGTCTGATTTAGCCTGCGGTGCAGATGTAATTTCCCGCAACGTACCTCCTGCGGGTAAATTAAGCGTCTGCAAACCCGAGTGCAGATTCGATTTCCACCAATCAGAATTCAGCTCCTAAAAACAGGGAACTGACTCGCGAGATTTATGTGAGATAAAACGCGCTACTACACTAGCGCGTGGAAACAAAATGTCAGGTAGCTTTATAGAGAGTGCGTTTCTCTATGTTTGCAACATTTTTGGCATTGCAAAATTAAATAAATACCAAGAGGATGCTATAAAATACGTAGTCAACGAGAAGGAGGATGTGTTTGTGAATTTGCCAACTGGATTTGGTAAATCTATTATATTTCAAGCCTTACCACTTGCATATAAATATCATGCACAAGCACCAAATATGTTGTCTAGTGGGAGTAGTGGCTCTCAACCGGCTAAACATATTATCATGTTAGTTTCTCCATTATACAGTCTGATTAAAGATCAAGTGAATCGACTTACCTCTCTCGGTATAAGTGCAGTGGCACTCAACATTACATTGGATAGTGTTAAAGAGAAGGTTTTAAAGGGAGATTTTTCTGTTGTGTTTTGATCTCCAGAGCTGTGGCTGCATGATGAATGATGGAGAAAGATTGTTGGTGGCGATATTTACAAGAATGCTGTAAGAGCTGTGGCAGTGGATGAGGCACACATTGTTTGTCACTGGTACGTGATGCATCCTTATATAGATACTGCAATTTATTACAAATTCTGATATTGATATATTATTAAATTTTAAACAAAATCATAACGATATTAATTGTTGTACAATAGTACTGCAATGTATAAATATAATGGTAAATATGTTCACATGAATGGATAAGTCTTATTATATTTTAATAATCTTTGTACTTTTCCCAGTACATATAAAAAAGGAATTTACCTATTTTAGTATCAATAAGTTATAAATTTGTGTTTATTGTTCTATTTTAAGGGGGTTATCAAAGAACAACAAGCATACAGCATTTAGAGTGTGGTTTTCTAAACTTCATGAGCTCACTCAGCTCAGGTCCCTCTTGCCTGGTGTTCCTTTTATTCCTCTAACAGCTACAACAACAAAGGATACCAGGGTAGCTATCTTTAATGCCATGTTGATGAATGAGCCATGTCTTATAAGTCTTATAATGGAGAGTCCAAATAAGGAAAACATTGCATATATTGTGGAATATATGCAGAAGAGTGCAAGCTTGTCCAGCTATTTTGCCTGGGTTGCTGATGAGATATTTGCTAAAAAAACTGCTTCAACTCGAACCATCATCTATTGTCAGACAATTAAACAACGTGCTATTGTTTATTCAACCCTGAAAGATCCTGTGAGTAGAGATCCCCAAAGAGTGTTACTTGAAATACTGCACTCATGCACCCCTTCTTGTAACAAGAATAATATATTGGACTCATTTCAGAGAGAGGATGGCTGCATTAGAGTGCTGGTAGCAACAATTGCATTTGGCATGGGAGTAGATTGCAAGAACGTTCATTGAACAAATACATTTTCGACCAGCCAAAAATGTTGAATCTTACATGCAAGAATGTGGTTGAGCCGGCAGAGATGGAACACCCAGTACAGCATATCTATTATACCAAAGTTTACAACTGACACATCTAGAAAAAGATATGAAAACCTACATCAATTCCAAAGAGTGTAGGCGAAAGTTCTTGCTCAGTTTCTTCGATGTGCAGTTCTCCCCAAAAGTCCCACTTCATTTATGTTGTGACAATTGCTCGTTAATATGTAAGTGTAATTCAGCAGACTGCAAAGTACTTTGTTATCCGACCGCAAGTGTGGGGCCTTCCAGTGGTAGGATGACGTCAATGCAACGAGTAATAACAACTGAACAAATCCAAGAACTGAAGGCTAAACTTAATTGTTTTTACAAGAATTTACTGATAGAACTACTAAAAAGGGATTCAAGTGGAAATGTGAAAGTCTTCAATCATCCTAAATATCTACTTGGATTTTCAGACATTCAAATTTCTCAAGTAATTACACATGCCCCCAAGATTTTTACAATTGATGACATTTGCAATCACATTGAAATTTGGGATGTAAAGCATGCCCATAAAGTATATCAAATTATGCAGAATGTGTTTGGAAACATGGAAGGAGACAACACATATAGTGATATTGATGAAATATCTTCAGATGAAGATGACTTGCTCCCAGAAGATTGGGATGACCTTGGGGTTGATGAAGAACTAGCTGAAATGGCAATTGATGAACTAAGTTTTTTTCAAATGAACTTATCAAATGATGATTCAATGGATTGCAGTGCAAGTGATGCAGATGTACCTTTTCCTGCTATTAGGGCATTAATGAACTTGAGTTTTGATGCTGTGTTGGACAAATAAGTAAGCATTTTATACACATTACTATTTGAAGTGATTAGGGTTATTGCCACTTAAAGGCTTCACAGGACACATTTTAACCAATAGAACAGTCCGACTAACCCATTGAGTGTCAGTAATCTCATCATCACAAGTAAAATTGTCTGGTATTAGACAGAGTAAAATAATTAAGTAGGGTGCATTAGGGCATATTTGTTTTAAACAGTTAACACGCCTGCTTTGTTAGTTTATCGGCGGGGGTAATTTGCAGAATGTATAACACAACTTCTGTATTTTTGCTCAGCTTTTACGGTGTTAGAACACTTTCGGACAGCTTTTATGTATAACCGCTGAGCGAAAGTACAGAAGTAGTGTTCTGCATTATGCAAATTACCCCCGCCCTTAGTTTACTGTATATAACATCAGGCACATAAATTACCTCATGTTTTTAAATAATTTGTTCTATATAAATTACTATGTTAATAAGACATTTTACTGTACTTGGTCATGTTTGAGCTGCATCCTAAGCTACAAATAAGGATGATTGGTATCGCAAATTTACATGTGGTATTATACACATACACTTTACATCAAGTATTATACACTTATGGTACCTATAATTACATATTATAGATTATTTTATATTAAATTTACAACAATTGTGATATTACTTTCTTAACTGTGTTTATCCCAACCCACCCTCACTGTCAACTTTCCCTGTGGGAGGAGACTGGACCACTCGGAGAAAACCCACGACTTTCAGCAGAGCGTCGAGTGACTCTCGTCACACAAGTCCGTAATGAGAATCAAACACACAAACTCAGAGGTGAAAGGCGCTTGCTATATGGCGACTGCACCCTCAGGTGTATTAAATAATGTGAAAGTATAGTTCAACTTCGTTTTCTATGGTGTTATAATGGTTCACAGGCAGGATCGGAGTTTCTGGTTATGTTGGTTGCCATGACTGACATATATTATTTAATGTTTATAATATTGATGGCATTGTGATATGCAGAACTACACAAACGAAAACCAACCTGCATTAAATTTTTACCAGGGTTAGCACTAACCCACCTTCGAACAACTGGCACAATGCAATGATAGGGCATGAATTTATAACCTATTATTTGCAAGATGAGGCTGCGGACCAAAATGAGAAAAATATCACAGGCTCAGAAATAGCAAAACAATCAATATTTCTTGTCAATATCTATACTGTTCTTCAAAACCCTGGTATCTATAGTCATCCCATCCCTACTATCTAGCTTTAATACATGAAGAAAGTTTTTTTCTTGTGTTCATTGATCCATTCATACATTCCAGACATGTTTAAATTATGCAGAGGATCCCTCTGGAAATTGCAGAAATGTCTGTAATGGCGACCTTCTTGATACTAAAAAACATTCATATCTACCAATCTCTTGGCAATTGCCTCAAAATCACTTTGGGGGAAATGTTCAACATGCTTACCTGATGGTGAAGCATATTGAATGCTCCAGTCAACCTTGAAAATTATTTCTCTTACCGATTTCTCAGCCCTAGCAATTCTGGTCACAGCCCTTTCAGTTATGTTTACACCCAAATGATTGATCCCTTGCTTTATGTAATTGTTGCTGTGTACCACTTCCAGGTCAATAGCGATGTTTTTTCCTGCACCACCACGATTATTTACTGATCTGTTCCATGTAAAAACTCCAGCTTTACTTTCACTTAAACCATTCACCAGGAGTAGTTGGTACAGACTTTCAAGTGCATATTTACTACCGTGAAAACCATCAGCCCTGCAGAGTAGCATTAGGTACTTGTACTGCCTTAGTATTCTATCACCATCTCCCTCTGAAACTGAATCCAGAAAGTTCAAGAAGAATAGACCTTCAGCAAGAAGTGCATTATTGTAATTAAATATATCATCTATATCATTTGAAGGAGGAGTTGATGTGGAAACGGTTGTCAAATTCAAGGTGTCAGATGGCAACATTTACGGGTGGGTCATGGCTTAGTTCATGTTTTTTTCCTGTTCTTACCATTGTATTTAAACGACTTTGCACATGCCAGGGAACCGACAACGAAAGCGACCTTCTTGGTTTAATTCCTGCTGGTTGATTAGCTCTTGACATTCTTGAACAGAAATCATGGTTTGAATACTTGAATCCATCATTTTCTCATTAACCACCAGTTGGTCAACAATCTTTGCAGCTGCCTTGTGAAGAAACTGCAGTTTCTTCATGTTACTCTGATTGACTATATCAGCTGGTATGGGAAAATGTTTGGGTTGACTAGTTGATTCACTTAAACCAAGCACTTGATAAGCAGCATATATTACACATGCCGTTACTTCGAGAACTAGAAAATTTTATCCGCCCTGTATGCTTGATGAGGATCTTCTCTTACATTTCGCCGATTTATCACATTCCTGTCAGACATCATAGAACATTCATCATCAGAGGAACTTGCAGAGAAAAACAACAGAATAATAACTGTAGAATAAATAAGTAAATCAATAAGCAATTTTATAACTTAAATTAATGTTTGTCATGTATGAATAATGTACACCATATAAAATGTTTAACCCTTTAAGTGGCAATGCACCCGTATGTGCCCTACTTTGTTAATTTACCCTGTCTAATGCCAGACGATTTTATTTGTTGAGGTCGATCAGAGTGTTGCCACTCAATCGTTTAACAATAGACTCATCATCACCATTCCTTTGGTCAACCCTTTGAGTGGCAATGCGCCCTGATGCACCCTAATTTAGTATTTTACTCTGTCTAACACCAAATGATTTTACTTGTCAAGTGGAGAGTGCTGCAACAGAATGGGTTAAACAGAATACACTATGGGCAGGGAAAAGAAAAATAATAAATCAATTACTTTTTGGGTTTCCCCCTTGTTTCACATGCGATTTTTTGTGCATTTCCCTTGGTGGTGAAAAAATAGAATTGCAGGATCTGAGTGTGTGGAGCTGGAGTAAGTTGCACTTTTCACAATGTTCCTGTTTTAGTCTCTTTCCAATTGTATATACATGTACAAACTTTACAATCAATTCATACCATGCAACCACTTAATTTTCAAAAGAATACATGCTGTACTAAATATCCCAGTACTGTACAGTTATTAGAATAATCAAAAGTCCTCTGCCACATTATGCAGGGATTTCAAGGTAAACAACACATACCTCTGAGGGGTCTGGGGACATTCTCCCCCTGGAAATTTTGAAATTTCACTGATGACTGATTCAACTTGCCATTTTTGGCATTCTGGACAGATTTATTAATCTTTTTCACAATCGAGCAATTGTTCACCAAATTGTAAAGCTAAATCTCTGATGAATTTCCCCATTTGCTGGGATAAAATAAAACTTCTCTTCTGGCATGGAGGAGCAACAATGTCACTATATACACATATACAACACAATATACTAAGGACTGGATACTGGCTTACCTCAAGAATTTTGACTCTTGTGTGCCAATCACCCAGCTGCATTCTGAAGCCCTCCAATCGGTCTTCTGGCATATAACCATTTGATACAGAATGGATAGAATGAACTGCCCTTTCAACTGATAACTGGTCTCCAGCACATAGTTGATTGGTGAAGACCTTCATTCCATTAACCATTGTGTACGGAAGGTATGACTGCAATTCCTTTAAGATCTCAATCATATCTCCAGTAGTATTTTCATTTTTGAAAATAACACCCATGGTTACCTAATGTTTATATATAATGTAGACAAGAAACATATTTCTGTACATTGGGCAGAACATGTACATGCTTGCTGTACATGCAAGTAGGGCACATATGTGACTTGATGGATTAACTAGACACACAAGCAGATAGCTAAGCCAGTTAAAACCAATAACTCTTTGAGTGGCATTCAGCACCCAATATTTTACTCTATCTAATGCCAGAGGGAGATATCACTCAATGGATTAAGCACAAGCATTCTCCCCTTGATGAGTAAAATCTCTGGTGTTAAACAAAGTAAATTAATAAAGTAGGGTGCTTCAAGGTGCAATGCAATTAAATAGGTTAAAGCTTAATTTTTCATTTAGCCTTAACTGCAGGGGTGGAAAAAGTATCGGACCATGAGACCATTGGTCCCAGAAAATTTTCGAGTTCCCAGAAAATATTTCCCCAAGAAAGAAAAAAAAAGATATTTGTAAAAATCTAATAGGCAAAAGGGCAAATTCAGAAGAAAAATTCTAATCAATAGAAAGAATGCTACCTGTACTGTAGGTATGACCTCAGAAATGCAATTATGAGTGCATCATAGCGCAATAGTGTGTAAATGTATAATAGCGCAATAGTGTGTAAATGTATAAACTGTAGAATAATGTAACAAATATTGTACGGCAAATGCATTTTTAGCCAATCTGGAACAGCTAATTTTCAAAATTTTCTGGGAAGCATGGATCCCCCTTGGTAGTGCCCCCTAGTACTGTCTTTTTAGCATCTTTATTCCCCATAGGATCAGACCCTTCATAAGTGGCATAGTCAGCAGGACCAAAATTTTCCACAAAATAGAGAAATGATTGTCCAATCTTTCAAAGTGTCCAATCTTGAACTTTTAAAAAGTCATTGTAATTTTTCTGGTTTTATTCAATATTTTTATTTTCTGCTTTCTATTACATTTACACAATTTTACAGCCCTGAACCTAGCAACTGCAACTCTGCAACAGCTTATTTCCCAGTAATACATTGAATTACATGTGACGTGTGTCACTCCTGCTATCTGCCGTTACAGCACTGCACCGTTACCGGTTAGAATCCGAGTTTGTTAGATTACTGCACCAGAATTGCAGAGCCAAAGTTGCGTTTTTCGCAAATGTTCCTAGTTAGGTTTAACAAATGTATATAAATTTCCACTCGATAACTCGCATCTACAAGACCCTTCAACTATTATTCAATTGAGTGAAATCACTGAAATGCCAACAAAATCTTGGTATTCAACAGTACACTAGACGGCAGGTACAAAACGCAGGTTGCAGGTTGGAATTTTGCAGGTTGCGGATTTTGCAGGTTAGGGATTTTGCAGGTTAGGGATTTTGCAGGTTGGGATTTTGCAGGTTGCCAGGAACTTTGCAGGTTGATAATGCAAACTTAAAATTACACCACTTTTTTAGTATTCTAGTATAATTTAGTTGTGCATTTATTGCAGTCTGACTCCTTGTCAGCGCCTCTGCTCTAAGGCTAGCGGCCATCACCCCCGTGAAAACATTCAAAATGACCAGATTGGCTTGGACCTACAGGGAGACGAATGTTTTGATTGTTGCGAGGTGCCTACATGACGTGACGGCGTTTATACTAGAATGTTGTCAAAAGTTAACTAACTCTCGAGTAATGATACTGTAATTGGGGGCTTGAGTGGACCTCTCATAAGTGGGTGCAGAGGAGAGACACCTCATTCAGGCATTTTCTGAACTGCCACCACGTCATGTAGGCTCCTCTTAACAATCGAAACATTCGTCCCCCTGGAGGTCCAAGCCGATCTGGTCATTTTGAATGTTTTCACAAGGGTGATGGGCACTGATGGTGACTCCTTAGAGCAAAGGCTAGGAACATATGGCAGCAGGATAGGCTGATATCAAAAGCCCCGACAAGGAGTCAAACAATAAGTACACAATTAAATTATACTAGAATACTTTATAGTGGTGTAATTTTAAGTTTGCATCATCAACTTGCAAAATTCCTGGCAACCTGCAAAATTCCAACCTGCAAAATCCCTAACCTGCAAAATTCCAACCTGCAACCTGCAACCTGCGTTTTGTACCTGCCGTACACTAGAACAATTGTTGACCTTATGCAATTCGAAGTGAAAGATCATATTAAAGAAGTGTATTGAATTGTATACATGATATTTTCCAGTTTTGCCACTTGATTATATTTAGCTAAATTTTCAGTTTAGTTGAAAAATATATGGTGAAATATAATTAAAATGCACAGAAATATGATTTCAAAAAGTTACAAAAATTTTTCTAATTTTCCTCTAAGGGAGGCTTCCCTTACGATTTTGTACCTGAGAAACATCATATGTTCATTTGGGGGGTGGGAGGTTGTTGCTTTGATGTTTCTCTGTAAAACATCATGGAAAAATTCGATACGTTTTTTGAAAAACAAAACAACTTGATACAAACATCAGTCTATACACCTGTAATACCGTACCTGTTCTATACATTTATATTATTACGCCTTCCTTCCATTGCAAACACTCAATTTCATAGATATCTTATATACACTAGATAGTGCATCTCTTTTAGTAAAATGGAAACCAAGAATATTCCAGCGGTTACCCCCATTTGAATAGATGGCAGCCATGTTGGTCGTTCCCTCTTACTAATAAACGCTTAAAAACAACAATAACTTTCATCATTTGAATAGTTTAAAAATGTATTTGGAATAGGGTTAACTTAATGTTTAAGTTCCCTGTTTAAAAAATAGATAACATACAAATCTTCTCATTTCATTGGAACGGCCTGAGACTGCAATCACAGCTTCAATTTTTGAATTGCAGAATAATTAGATGCACTATCTAGTGTATATAAGATATCTATGCTCAAATTTCAAGAAAAAGACACATTGAAAAACGTGCTAAAATCAGTGTCAATATTTTATGCAACAAACGTTGATAAAAAACATACGTCAGCAGAAAGATAACATATTCCTTGCCAAAGCATTGCCAACAGCCGACCGTAGAAAATAGTAGAAAACTACCTTGTGTGTACTATAAGAACAAAATATCAATAACTATGTGTGACATTTCTAGGTGGTGGTGGGGGTCATCAGTGGTGGTGGGGGTCATCATTTCTAGGTGGTGGGGGTGGCGCAAACAGAAATCTATATCTACGTTTAAACGCAGTTTGTATACTAAAATTTTAACAGACCAGAAGTTCGCCATGCGTTTAGAAATTGCTTAGGTGGGTGGTGGGTTATTTTGTTGGAAATATAGTAGTTTTAGAGTTTTTATAAGTTTTAGTATTGTATTAGCTTAATTGTAGTTATGTAAGGAGGGCCACAAATTTATCAGTAGTTCACACTTACTGTCAAGTGTTTACCCTTACAAAACCAAATTATATGGGACATATATGGACCAACTATGGGATTGATATGGTTCAACCTATGGGCCATATATGGAAGTTATATGGCTTTGGTATGGCCTGGTTGCCTTCATAGCATACCCATATCATGTTTTTGATATGGGTTTGATACGTATTTGGTACAAATCCATACATATCCCATATCACTTACTATGGGAAATACATGGGTTCCTTATACCATTTCATAACAACTTTGCTATGGGAATGATAGGATTCTATATGGGAATGATCTGGGAACATGATATGGAATTCATATGGTTCTAGTAACCAAATTATATGGGACATATATGGACCAACTATGGGATTGATATGGTTCAACCTATGGGCCATATATGGAAGTTATATGGCTTTGGTATGGCCTGGTTGCCTTCATAGCATACCCATATCATGTTTTTGATATGGGTTTGATACGTATTTGGTACAAATCCATACATATCCCATATCACTTACTATGGGAAATACATGGGTTCCTTATACCATTTCATAACAACTTTGCTATGGGAATGATAGGATTCTATATGGAAATGATCTGGGAACATGATATGGAATTCATATGGTTCTTGATGTATAAACTATGGGATTGGTATGGGTGCAACAATTATCATATTATATTGGGAATGGTATGGGCACTTGTTTTCATCCCATACCAAACCCATGTTAACATCTAGCATCCAAATGCTAGATGTTAACACATGTGGGTTTGGTATGGGATGAAAACAAGTGGCCACCATTCCCAATATACTTGCTACGGCTCAAGAAAATTGTACTGGCTGGCATACATAGTTTTATTAACATGCAAAAAATCTTCAAAAACACAATACATAAATAAATAACATAGTTAATAAATAAACAAATTACAAAATTGTTAACTAATTTACTATTTCTTAATGAACTTGCAAAGTTTGTCTAACTAAATTACCATTGATAGTATAGTTATACAAACATGCAATAATGTCAAGTACTAAGTGCTTATTGATCTATATAAATGTATCGATATCTATAATGTCCTCAGGCCTCTCAACTTGTGGGCTTGACTACAGACTATTCAAATTCTTTGCGTACGCCTGGCCTCCACGTCACTTTTCATGTATATTTTTTGTATCGCCTCACCAAGGGCCTTCTTTAGAAAATCTTGCAGAGCAGAGCAATATGCCCACTGGTGTCAATACCAGAACATGCCAGATCCTTGTACAACTTCTATCATCTGCAGGACAAAATAATTCAAACTTCAAGATTTTGCCAGATCTGACAAAAATGATTGTACTGACAGAAAATTTATACCCTATATCTATATTCTGCAGCCAAATTTCCACCAAGCATTTTTGCACCAAATTTAATATTTTACTCTGTCTAACGGAAGACAAATTTACTCTGTCAAATGCCAAATCGTTATGTTTTATTATATGTCTAATGACAGACAATTTTATTTGTTAAGTGGAGAGTCTGGCACATTAATGGAATAAATATTTAATAAAATAACAAAGTACTAAAAGTAGGGCACATTGCTTTTAAATATTCCAACACAGCAGCTTTTGCAGTTAATTATTAAGTATTAATAACCTTTCAATAACCAACACTTATCTTGATGAGTAAAATCATCTGATAATTAACTATCAAAGTACTGAAAGTGGGGAGTGTTAGGATGAATTGCATCTAAATGTGTTAACAACAAACAATGCAAAATAGTCTGGTGTTAGACAGGCCAAAATATTGAGCTTTGAAATAAAGCAGATTAGTGTGAATTGGGTCTTAATCCCACCGTGGCGAGGCATATTTTTCAAAGCCTGCCCGGTGTGGATATACACTCAGAGTAACATCACACAAGGGTCTTAATGAGTTTACACATAACACATAGGGACAGCAAGAAAACCTATCAAAGTTGTCCACTCTCTTTCACAAGTAAAATATTTGATCTGGTGTTAGACAAGGTAAAATAAAAAAGTACTGAAAGTTGAGAATATTCGTCTTTATAATGAGTTAGTGTGAAATGTAAGATAAGTAGAGATCGAGTCTTGTTAACTTGAATATACCAGCACATTATTTCATAGAAAAACATGGAGAATTTTCCTGGCACACCTCTCCCAATGAAATATCAAATTTTAATTTGAACAATAACATATGAATAAATATTAGAATCTTAGAAAGGTTGCTGCTGATTTGAGCAAGTAGATAAATTTTCAAACTACATGTAATATGAGCATATATAGTATATATGTAATAGGAATGCTTAATGTCTGCAATTAATCTTGCATATACAGTTGGTATATACAAAGATATTAACCAATAAACATGGATAAGTCTAATTCAAATACAAAACTCTTATAGTAGCATTTATTAAAGTATAAATGCCAGCTATAAATATATTTATATCAGCGTTCTAATCATTATTGTCGCGGCAAATTCAAATTTTAAACCGATCGAAACACATACTCGAATTTCACGAATGAAGATTGGACAAGGTATTCCTTTATAATTTGCTTTATTATAAACAAAATATAAACATATTCTTACCTGAACATTATACAAACATTGCTGATGTATTACTAGTGAAAATCCAGTTGAATCTCATCAAAAATAGTTCTATTTTGATAAAGCATTCACAAACGAAAAAATAAAAAATATCGAAGGTGTGATGACCTATCCCAAGATGCTTTGTGCGAGTGGCAAAAAAACTAGACACCAGTCTTTCGGTCGCGCACATTGCGGTAATTATTCATTTAATTAATGTTAGAAAATAAATTTATGAACCTTATTTATTTTCCAATCCTATAGAAATTCCTATAGGAATTTTTATTTCCTATATGTATATATATATAGGAATTTCTTTTTCCTAAAGGACTTTTTTTCACCACTTTCAAATTTTATATGAATTCCTATAGGAACTTTCAAATCCTATAGGAATTTCATTTCCTATAGGAATTCCTATAGAAAATTTTCGTAAGGGTTGGCATAGCATGCCATAGAAATCATATGTATGGATTCTCTATGGGAGGCCAGAACCACACCAAGTTCAGACTACCATATAATTCCCATAGATATGGGTACTATATGGGACAACCAACTGTGCACTACCATAGAATTCCCATAGATATGAGAAGCATGGGACAACTAAGTGTGGACTACCATATAATTCCCATAGATATGAGAAGCATGGGAGAACCAAGTGTGGACTACCATATAATTCCCATAGATATGGAAAGTATATGGGACAGCCAAGTGTAGACTACCATATAATTCCCATATGCATGGAAAGTATATGGGACAACTAAGTGTGGACTACCATATAATTCCCATAGAGTTGGTCATATGTAAAAATGTGCCATTGATATGGATTACCTATGGACCAAGTAACCCCACAGATTTTCCATAGGATTAATAACAATGTGTTTGTTTCCATAGCTTTTCCATATCTCGATATTTAACAAATTTAGACACCATACCAATCCCATATGATATCTATACTGTCCCATATCATTCCCACATATGGGTCATATATGGCCCAAACTTTGCCATATCTTTCCCATACTTTTGCTTTGGTAAGGGTACCCTCATGAAATAAAGTCTGAATGAATGAATGAATGAATGAATGTGAGGCTTCCCTAACCACACAAATTTTGTTGTTTCCTTTGGATATATCTGTGAAATCGCAGGAAATAGCCATTGCAAACATCTAAAATTCAGTTTGACAACATCACACAGTTACAGTCGGAGTGTCAAGATACTTGATTATTTGCAGAAAATTTTCAATGTTCTCTTGCGGTCCCAGAAAGCAAAATATTTTTTCCACCCCTGCATAACTGATGTGAAATAGTCTGGACAATCTGGTCTTTTGTGTAATTATGTATGAAACTGATTATCCTTTTCTCATTAAAGAGACATTGATAGTATAATGTGAACACATACTATAATGCATGGTTAAAGTATTCCTGTTATATTCCTTCCCCATTGGACTCCCAAGGAAATATATACACTGACAATTCACATGGTTGGGGAACATTATTGAGTGTCTGGTTTTGGGGTGGCCCATGGAGGTGGGGAGTATAAATGTAAACTCCAAATGTTTCGTAGATGTTTGATAAGAAAAATGCATACTGCAAGTGAATTTGAAGGTTGAAATATGTAAAAGTTCAATTTATAGCACAATTTGTGTATAGTAATGGTTTGTTAATGTTGTCCCTGAGGTGGGTTTTTTTAATTTTCCTGGTTGCCTAGGGGTAAGGAATTGACATTTTGGAAATAAAAATCTTCAAGAGGGGGGGTTAACAGGCAGAATTGACCATGCATAACATTCCTTAAAAATTGTCGGTTTTCATTTGGCTCACATATTTAGCTTTTATATTGTACTTACAGATTCAGATTTTCCAGCCATTTCTTTTGAATATTTGTGCGGAATAGGACTGACACATACGTCCTTAAATGCTGAAAAACATTCTAAATGCTCTACAAGCATTCTTGCCACGAAGACAATGTAGTTCTGTCGCTGACGATGTAGTTCTGTCGCTGATCTTGAACAGGAGGAAGAAGTTTGATATTCGATATGTTCAGGACATTTCTTGGCGACATATGTAGTTTGTTACCTGATACTCTGTTAATAACAATCTTATGATTAACCCATTGAAAGTCCAAATTCTGATTCTCCATTGTCATATGCCATCTATTTAGATTTCCATCAATATTGTCGAAAAGGATAGCAAAACCAGCATGCAGATTTAATCTTTCTTTCTTCAGATCGCTCATTGCATTCTTTTTCTCTTTGTTGCACATAATATTACAAATATGTTCTGATCCATCGTTATTTTTTCCTTCCCTGCATCTTCCAGAAAGTATTGCAACAGTGGCTTCCTTTTCTACAATAACTTGTTGCTCAAGCAGTATTTTCGTCTTCATATCTAGGACCACTTTCGCGTCATTCTCCCCAAGTAAATATAGTTTTCCACGCAGTTTGGCAGCACAACATGTAACTTTCAATTTGGCCAAGTGATTCAAAGTTGACTATATGGTATAAAAAATAATGCGATGTGAGTTCATAAACTGCCAAATTTCCCACAACGACACTCCGTTAAACCTCCCATGATACGTGTTCATAAGTTATAAACAAAAACATATAAACTTTCTATACGCAAATGGCATTATTGACAAACCGTAGCCGATAGTATTCAGATGTTGATTTCAGAACAATTGGCGCCAAATGCCAATATAATTTTATAACCATAATGGAAATAAAAGGTTTAGACAAAATAGTTTTCGAACTTACTGTAATATTAGAGGACATGTATAAATTTACATAATATTTATTACATGTAAATATTCCATTATGTCAAATGTACGATTTACTAATCAGCTGACGAAGCACATACAAAAAGGTTCAATTTATAACATTAACCACATGAGTCATGTTGTTGCAAATTAAATAAATTGAAAACTGATAACAATAAAAATTAAATCAAACGCGTATAGAAATAATTTACTCTACCTGTACAGTATGGAATGAAATAAAGCATAAACAAACGTTTCTATTCATCAATTCATGCCAGCCATTTCACTACAGTAAATATGATATACAATACAGAAACTTTAATTACCTCGATGGATGTGGACTTAATGAGAATCCCAATAATTGTTGCGCATCCATTCATGTGGGAATTGCGTTGCTTGAGGAGGATTGATCCAGCAACTGCTATACTAGGAAACCATTGTAAATTATTTTCATCTTTACAAAAGCAATCGTCATTAAAAAATCATACAAAAGAGGCGCGCTCTCCTTCCACTCGAGACATAAATTCTTGAACTCAAAACTAGATAATTCATTCTTTGTTTTAGATCTCAGAAGGGAAGGCTTTCGTCTTGAACACAGTCCACTTACTTGCAAAGTCAAAAGCTTTAAAACTTTTTCAAGAATGTATTTTTTTACCGTACTGTTCTTTAATGCAGCCCTTGCAATTCTTTGAGAACCATGAGCGATTGCTTTGCCAAGAATCGCAAAATCATCAATCAATTCCTTTCGGATAGTCTTACTTGGATATTGCACAGTAAGAGACACTTTGGTTTTCTTTTCCACAGGCACAGATACAGTTTCAGTCTGTTCAAAATCAGGTAAACTGTGCGGAGTTTTAGCGTTATTTATAGGCGTAGATGTTAACAGTACAGTTGGGTCTGGCCTTAAAACTATGTAATGTCAGTGGGTACAGGAACTTCCCTGATACTTGCAGTTGCATTTAATTCAATGTGCAAATCTTCAAAAGCTAAACTCCTTTTGCTTTTTGGCAATGTACTTTCTGCGACTTCTTTCGCCATTCTTTTAACCGAAACTGGAACTAACATATTAAATTCCAGTGCAATTTCATGTTCAATCTCGTCCACTTTTCATAGTGCGTTTTTGTATCGTGTTAGTCACTTATAGTAACTCATGCGACAGATCGCTATTTTTTTGCATCACACATAAAGGGACAGATCAACTTTTGTTGCACGCAAAATCAAAGTTGGAATACCAATGGTGCTTTTCCCAAACACCCTGATCTTATCGTGCTCATTAGCTAACACATTTTTCCAGAGAAAACAACATTCTTCGCAGTGCGATAACTTTTTGGGAGTTTCATTCATACTTAATTATATATTTTAATATACAATGCAATACAAAACGCTTTGAATGTAGCTACTGTAATAAATCACTCCTTCGTTCGTCACGCGAAGCCAACAGCCACACGTGGAGAATTTCAGCTGCATATGTCTATGATATAATGTAACATTTAATTGGTTGAATTGAGACAATGGCATTATGTCATGGAAATCAAATCTGCGCTCGGGTTCGCAGATGCTTAATTTACCTGCGGGAGGTATGTTGCGGGAAATTGCATCTGCACCGCAGGCTATGTCTGATTACGCCATTTCTCACATTTTTCAGCAAATCCTCCTTTCTGTACAAGTTTTTCAATAGAATTAATGATGCTATTGTAGCAGTAATAAAATATGGGATAGTACTTTTCAGTGTTGTTTTTCAATGTTACCTTCTTAACTCGCTGCGCATCACACACACAGACCTTTTTATTTTTGTAGAACGTATTGGTGCACCATTTAATAACATGCCGGCCATTAATGATGTAAACACATTCAGTGTACTCGTAGAATTTGGTGCACTTAGGGCAAACCACATATTTAGTGAAATCGTCTCGATCCACTGCAAGTAATTGTCATACCATATATAATGATGTTGTAAATATAATGATTAACTCATTTAACATATCAGTTGGAGCATGCACATTGATCACTTTCAAAAATTGAAGAAGAAATTGCAGTAACCAAGCTAATCCATTGTCGCTTATATGACATATACTTTGCCAAATCAGGAGAAAATAAAGTAGCCATTGAACAAGGGAATTCACAACCTGAAGCTTTCCCTTCTTCGGTGTAGCGTTGGGAAGCGCTTGGGCTGACAATATATCTTTCTGAAACAAATCTTCAGGAACATCATTCCAGACTTTGTCATCAGAGTTTGTGTGATCATCTGCATCGTCTGCCAATTCAGTTTGATCAGATACCTGATTGTCTTCCTTTTAAAATGATAGAAACAGTATTTAATGGTAATTGAATGGTGATGGTAATTGAATATAATGCTAATTGATCAAAATCTCCACACTGCAGCAAACTAAACGCAAGTTAAACATGGCACGTGCATGTGTGGGGGCTAATTCTGACTGTTTTGCATTACCAATAACAATTGACATTTTACTATATTTTTATTTCAAACTAGCGAGTAAATGTCAGCAATAATTTGCACTGATTTGCAATGGATTAAGACTCAGCAGTCAATGGGAATCCTCCAAATTTCTATTTCATTCATACTCGATATTTAAAATAAAACATTTGATGATTATATGGCAGAAATTTTCTTTTTTACAGTTTTTGCACCATATCTTGCCCACAGATATTCACAGACTCTGAACTGACTCACAGATAATAGCATCGAATTCACAGTTAAGTTCCTTACGTAAATATCACAGTTAACAGTAATTATTTTTGGATGCAATCACAGTAACATGCAGATAAGAATTTTGGCAAAATCACGCTTAACCCAAACCCATTGAGTGGCAACACTCTCCATGTGATGAGTAAAATCATCTGGCGTAAGACAGAGTAAAATGCATCAGGGTGCATTGCCACTTAAAGGGTTAAGAGGATGCATGGGCTTGGTTAACCCATTGAGTGACAGCACTCTGCACTTGATGAGTAAAATCGTCTGGCATATTAGACAGAGTAAAATACTAAAGTAGGGCGCATCAGGGTGCATTACCACTTAAAGGGTTTACAGTTAACCCCATAAATACCCTCAGACAATGATCTTAAGAATACCTGGAGGATATTCTCTGAGCTACAGCAATTGTCACTGACAGCAGAATGTGCATGTTTCTCAGCTCCAAAACTTTCATGGACTATATATGAAAGAAAAAGCTATTTGGTATCATAGTCAAACAATATTTATACACTATATAATTATGTGATATGTCTTGTTTATATTATGATCATACCTACCAAGTCTCTGAGGGTGGAAAAAGAAACACAAATGATTTTAATTGCAAAGATGATATATGTTTTTTTTTTATAAAAAACACATTAGAAATCATTTTTCTTGGTTTATAAAGTATACCAAAGTCACTAAAGAATGAAATGTACTGTAGTTGTTTATATTTTGGCTTCTCAAACTGGTTGGCAAACGTTTTTTGATTAAGGTTGTAGTAAATTAGTGTGGCTTTTATTCAGGCTGGCCCTCTGTACTAAATATGCGATCATAAAGCAGCGATTATTTGGGGGGGGAGGGGGGGTGTGCTCAAACGAATAATGATTTAATAAAGTTTAGTTGCCAAATTAAGCTACTTTAGAAAATATATTTTATTATTTAGCTATTGAAAAGTCATTAACCACGGCCTATTGCCCAAAAAATGCAGGTTAAAAATCAATGGGAAAATGCGAAATTAATAATGCTAAATAATGAAGCATCCATCAACAACAGTAACTGATTGTTATTCCATCTCAAATAACACAAACGTTATTCTTATCAGGGGCTGATTACATAGAGCATTTTCAACCCCGGGGTTGAATTCAGCCCTGTTGACCGGGTTGAAATTTCCACTACAATGTACGGAATTAAAAACAAAGGTCAAGAAATTATTTTTTCCATTATACCTTTCACACATCATTCACACATAGTGAGTATTTAATAGTAAATTATCTGTTTCAAATTCGTGGTGCAAAATCTTAAGTGTCTCTAGTACTCCCAATATTGTCCATTATGGAACGTATCTGATCTTACATGCTTCTCCAAATATTTCGTGTTTTGATTCGAATACAATAGTGCCTAGAGTGTTTTTTCTCACATATATACCTAATTTACTGCTCCATTGCACACTCGCATCCTGCGGCAAACTCCATAAGAAGTTTAACGTAACTTTCTTTTCTTCCTCGAATGATTCCATCTACATTTATTTCGAAATGTTCACAAATTCGAAGAAGCATAGCAATACTAAACTTTCGCTTAAATTTCTCTTTATTCTTCAAAAGTTCGCAAATGTTGTATCTATCAAATATGAGTGAGTGATTGTAACACACAGAAGATATCGCTTGTGACTTCAAACTTTGCAGAAATTCTTCCTGTTCAGTGGTTTCATTTTCTTGGAGAAACTCGTTCATATTTTTGCCATCTAACAACTTGGATGTGAACGGTACCATTTTCTTCTTAGCTGCTGCAGTTTGTGCAAAAAATGATCTTATCTGTTGAGCCTTCAGACACTCCTCAGGTTTAAAGAGCCGGTTACCTTGTTCATCAAGAGCTCTACGCATCTCTGTCGAAAACTGCGTTGGACGAAAGGGGAGAGAAGAAATGCCGCACAAAACACTGCATTCGTGATTGACCAATAAAAACGCAAATGAACTAAGGGGAAACCCCGAAACAAAAGAAATGTATTTGCCTGTGTGTAAACATGTCAATCAAGACGGTTACATTTCAGCAATTCAACTACTGACAAGACTAGTGTCTGGAATTGCAACCGTTCGCCAGATAGAAATGATGGAAAACTTTTTCTTTGATATTTGTTTTAAATTACGTATTTGTATTAAGGCAGTAAACTGAAGGAACGTAACATTATGGGAGGACTTGAAGCATCACCGACTGTTACAGATTGGATGCCAGTTGAGTATCTGATTTCCTTGTCTATGATGTGGTGATCTTATTATGGTTTCTAAAAGCACTAATTTTCTATTGAAGTTACTAGTATTACCTGTGAATAAAAAGTGTTTATAACGGTGTAAGAAATAATAGATCTTGTTATGCTCGATTGAGGATATGCTGCTGACTTGCAGCCGAGCATATAACTAGGCTAAAGGCTGTACTGATATACCAGTCGTGTGTTTTTCGTACGCACGTATATGCATGGAATAGTTTACATATTTTACTGTTCCGTAATATTTAGTACGCATTTGTTAACTTATTTGTAAAATTTTAAAACTTAGAAGGTTTAAACTTTTCCGTGCGTTTGCGTACCAGTAAAAACGCACGACCATGATAGCCTTATCTCGCCGCTCTCCTCCCAAAGTAGGCATATTATTTATATATTGTCATATATTTGTTAAGCAGAAATGTATGAAATGAAGCATACACGTGTAGTATTATGTAATATACTTAATTATGCATGCATATAACACTCTTGTATATAAAGCTGTACATCGTTAATGTAAGTATTATATTATTAAATAGTTCGACTAGCACTACATGGTGGCAGCGGGTTTAAAGTTTTAATTATGGCAATGGCGTACAAGCCGCTGGATTCCTTTGACTTTTCGAAAGGAGAAACATGGCCAAATTGGATACGATGATTCGAAAGATTTAGAACGTTAACAGAGCTCAACCAGAAAGAAGATATAACCCAAATAAACACTTTGATTTATATGATGGGCGACCAAGCGGAAGATATTCTGAATTCGTTTAAGTTGAATGAAACTCAGCTCAAAGATTACAAGACAGTTAAGGAGAAATTCGACTCATACTTTTGTGGTCAGAAGAAATGTAATATATGAGCGTGCTAAGTTCAATAGGAGAGTACAAAATGAACACGAATCAGTCGAACAATTCATAACCTCATTATACGTGTTAGCTGAACACTGTCAGTACGGAAATTTAAATGATCAAATGATCCGTGACCGCATTGTTGTTGGCTTAATTGATGCAAATGTATCGCAAAAGCTTCAACTTGACCCTGATTTAACGTTAAAGAAAGCACAAGATATTGTTCGAGAAACTGATGCCGTCAAAAAGCAGCAAAGTGAACTGCGAAACAAAGTTGATTTCCCAGACAATGGCGTAGATTCTATTCATTCCGCAAAGCACAAGAAATCACGGCGAGAACAGAACAACAAAGCTACAGGAAAATCAAACCAGAAAGATTTTCCTGGTAAACAAAGCTGTTTTCGATGTGGAAAAAACCCATTCCATAGCAGAGAAAAATGTCCTGCAAGAAATTCCACGCGTAACAAGTGTTCTAAAGTTGGACATTGGGCTAAAGTCTGCAGAACTAAAATGGTTGCGGAGGTGGTCACAGAAACAGTGATGACGATGAAAATTATGAATTCCTTGGCGAAGTATCATCCCAAAACAATGCTCAGTGGAAAGCAAATCTAAAATTGGATGGACAAGTAGTTCAATTCAAGTTGGACACTGGAGCTGATAAAACTTGTATTCCACTTCACTTTGTATGAAAGCATGAAAACTAAGCTTCCTGCTTTGAAAAAGTTGAAGAAGAAGCTACATTCTTGTGATGGAAAGAAATTAGATATCTATGGAATATTCGTTGCAACAATAGAAAAGCTGATAAGAAAATAACAGTACAAGATGTGTATGTTATCAAAGGTTTACATCAAGCTCTCTTGGGTGGGCCAGCTATACGTGCTCTGAATTTACTCCAGAAAGCAAAGTTTGTGGAGACAGTAAAGACCTGCAGCGACGAAGCCGAACCTAACAAAAAGTGGAAAAGTCAGTCTCCAAAGCTATTCAAAGGGCTTGGAAGAATCAAGAATGAATACGCAATCAAATTGAAACCAGATGCTAAACCCCATGCCGTTTACACGCCAAGAAAGATAGCAAATCCTCGGTTACCTAAAGTTAAAAATGAACTGGACAGGATGGAGAAAATGGGTGTCATCTCGAAAATCGAAACTCCAACAGAATGGTGCTCTCATATGGTAGTGGTACCAAAATCGAATGGTGACGTAAGAATTTGCCTTGATCCATCCGAGTTAAATGAAAGCATTCTACGAGAAGCGCACCCCCTACCTGGTGTCGATTGTACATTGGCAAAGTTAGCTGGATCGACAGTGTTCTTGAAGCTTGATTGTAACTCTGGTTTTTGGCAAATACCATTATCAGAAGAATCTGCTCCCATAACTACATTCATAACCCCATGGGGGAGATACAATTTCAATGTACTGCCTTTTGGAATAACACCAGCGTCAGAACATTTTCAAAAACAGTTGGAAATGGTCTTGAAAGATTGTGAAGGGGCATGTATCGAGATTGATGATATTCTTGTTCATGGAAAGGATACTAAGGAGCATGATGAAATATTGAAGAAAGTTCTTCAAAAGCTTGAAGAAGCGAATGTTACGTTGAATGGCGACAAGTGTGAACTCTCAAAACCTGAAGTTCACTATCTGGGTCATGTGATAAACGCTACAGGAATCAGTGCAGATCCAGAAAAAGTTTGTGCCAACACAGAGATGTCATCGCCAAACAGCACACAAGAGGTGAGGTGGTTCTTAGGAATGTGCAACCAACTCAGTAAGTTCTCATCGGGATTAGCTGATAAGACTAAACCTATCCGAGATTTATTGAGTGATAAAACTCACTGGAACTGGGGCATCCAGCAAGAAGAGGCTTTCAAAGAGATCAAGAAAATCCTCAGCAATACTCCTGTATTGGCCTTATACGATCCAAAAGCGGAGACAAAAATTCGCACAGATGCATCTTCATATGGTTTGGGTGCAATTTTAATGCAAAAGCAAAGTAATTATGAATGGCAACCAGTCGCGTATGCTTCAAGAGCATTGTCACCAACAGAACAAAGATACGCACAAATTGAAAAAGAAGCACTGGGAATTATGTGGGGATGTGAAAAGTTTTCTGAGTACATCTCTGGCATGAAGTTTCATATAGAAACAGATCACAAGCCATTGGTTCCGGATATTTACACATGGAAAAAGATTGGTGATCCCTTCATCAATGAGATTGGACATACTTAGTAAAATACATTCAGGACATCTCGGGATAACCAAGTGCCGAGAAAGAGCAAGAACGTCAGTGTGGTGGCCTGGTATGAGCAAACAAATTGATGATTTGGTTCGAAACTGTCATGAATGCGTTAAAGAAAGAAAGAATAAAGCAGAACCATTGATATCCTCTACTCTACCAGATAGACCATGGCAAAAACTTTGTACTGATCTGTTCAAGCTAAAGGGTAAGACATATCTTATAATCATTGACTACTTTTCAGGATATCCCGAATAGCTCTCTTAAACAGTATTACCTCTACAAGTGTAATTACGCATATGAAGTCTTGTTTTGCTAGACATGGAATTCCAGATCGTGTTATATCAGATAATGGTCCTCAATTTAGTTCAGTTGAATTTTCAAAGTTCTCCTCCAGTTATGGATTCAAGCATCAGACAAGCAGTCCAAGATATCCTCAAGCCAACGGTAAAATTGAACGGGCAGTGAAAACGGTGAAAAGTCTTCTTAAAAAGTCGAAAGATCCGTATATTGCTTTAATGTCGTATCGAGACACTCCACTCGAGAATGGTTATAGTCCTGCTGAACTCTTATTTGGAAGAAAGATTCAAACGACTCTTCCAGTTGTATCACAGCACCTTGCCCCTACTTGGCCTTATCTCATAGCTGTCAGAGAAAAGGAAGAAAGAATAAAGAAACGACAGACGAAGAATTACGATTTCCGTCATAAAGTGAAAACATTACAGCAACTTGAACCTGATTGTCCAGTATGGATTCCAGATCGTAAAGAGTCGGGTACAATTATCAATAAGTTTGAAACCCCTCGCTCGTATGTGATTAAAACCCCAACAACAACTGTTCGATGAAATCGACGACATCTGATCGAAGACCCTTCAACGAATAGTCGTGAAGAACCGCAAGAAGCCACATCAACTACATCAGGAACTGCAGTGCCAGAAAACAATCCAGGTTATTACACAAGATCAGGTAGACTATCTGCACCACCTGATAGACTGGTATACTAGCATTAGTTATTAGATATTAATATTTAGTAACTGAACACTAACATATCCTATTATCATACTTTTCAAAAGAAAAGACAAAAAAAAATATGTAGTAATGTATAACCGTAAGAGTCAAAAACCTTTGTGGTAGTTATTTGAACAGTTTGACTTTAGTTTCTTTTTTATATATTTAATATTTAGAACTTAGAAAGGGAGGTGTAGTATTATGTAATATACTTAATTATGCATGCATATAACACTCTTGTACATAAAGCTGCACATCGTTAATGTAAGTATTATATTATTAAATAGTTCGACTAACACTACAACATGTTTGTAAGTTGCCTTGTGGCCATGGTAATAACAATAACAGACGCACTAGCTATTAACGCCAATATTCGCGAGTCACTTCTTCCACTTAGGGCAAAAACCCCAAAGTTTTTTCTCCTCCCTTCTTGAACTTAGTCTTTTGTCGTTCCTTAAGCCAAGTTTTGTACTGATCAGTTTGTAGGACCTCTGACAATAGGCCTTTCATTGTTAGTACTAAAACCGGAAGTAAAGTTTTTCAAAAACTATGTTCAACAGATACGTTCTCGAAGGAAGGCAAATGTAATTTTCCATTTTTCTTTTAATGAATAAAGAATGATCAAAGAACGAGTTATTGATTACCAAAGTACAATTAATGTACTTTATAAATTCATCTCAGAATGCGCCTCGGAATTTCAACCAAAAATTGTCTGGAATGCACCCGAAATTACTCGCTCGCAAAGACCTGCTGTATGATGTCGATTTCTTAAAAACCAAGTAAGTAAGCATCATAAAAATATAACTCGTCAGAATCCTATGCCATCAAGTACTTTTTGACCAAGTTTGAGCCAAATCGAAGTTTCGTCATCCGTCGTGAAAATGCGAAATTCTTCGAAATTTAGAGACACGCTCTCTTAATTTCTTTGTAGAGCAAAATTGACCTTTACTACCTATAAACGCTGTTTTTTTTCATTTATACATACCTTTAACACATTTAGCACATTGCGTAAAGGTAAATATATATATATATATAAATTTCGTCCTGTGAGTATTTCTGTACTCTATGTACCATGCATCATGACCCTTTGTCAATTTCGGCTGTATTCAAAAGATTGACTAAATTGTCATGAGCTGCAGTTAAAAAAGGCATTTCACCTTTTTGATATCTGATGTGTTTGCAAGTGCTGACTCAGCATTTTCGAGTTCCTTTTGCCAAAGTTTGTCTTTTTTCACTTATATACGCAATGATAGGCAATGTCTAAAACATGGAATGGAACATTTGGAACAACTGGAATATCTGGAACGTTTGGAACATCTGGAATATCTGGAACATCTCATAAATCAGTTTTTACAACTTTTTTTTTTGCCCAATTTGGCAATATTAAGGCGGATTTACGCCATTTAAACTTGTAGATTCAGTCAATTTTGACGAGTCCACGAGCTAATTATTTGTAGAAAATGAAAGGTAAAGGCTTCTAAACTCTATTATTATTTTCTTGACAAGCACTATATATAAATTAAACTAGCTACTGTATGCCGATAGTGGAATAGAATTTTGCAGGTTTCATATCTTCGGTTCAGTGAATGCCATGTAGATGAAAATACCACCGTTCGATTTAATGAAATAATATCTCCTAATTCCTAATGATAGTTTTAGTCAAAGACAAACATTATATTTATAGTGATTTATGAGCGTTGACTGGTATAGCGATATTTATTTCAATAAATTAATACATAACTGTTCGAAGAGTGTAAACAATGTATTACTAAGGCTAAGCCATATCTTTCAGCCCCTTCGAACATATCTCGTTGTAGTCTTGTTGGAATCACAATCTAAAACACTATTTAGAGTGTTGTTTTCAAGCCTGTAGCTTCAGTTTTTCATCCTTTATTTTGTGGTATTTCTAACTATAGTAGTATATAGTAAGGTACTCAGCGGGATATTTCTAAACAGCCTAAAGGTCAACTTATAACTGTAACTCCTTAATATTAACCAATTTTAGCATGCGAGTAAAAACCCGATATATAGAAAACATCAAAATAAATATTCTACTCGCCGTATTCTGACGAAACTTTCACTTGAATACAAGGAGTATTTTAAGCGCTTGAATAGAAGGAGTATTTTACTCGATTGACTTGGGGGAATTTACCCTGGTCGCCAGAGGTTCTGTATCCTTTCATCCTTTGCCTTGTTCCTGGGAATAAGGCGAAAGATACAGAACCCCTGGCAACCAGGGCAGGGGGAATTTGGTATTGAATAATAAGGTCAAGGAGTAACATTTGTAATTTGACCTTTAAAAATATTCCGCTGAGTACCCTACTACTACAGATTAAAATACCGAACTAAAAGATGAAAAACTGAAGCTACAGCTGGCTTGAAATAACACTCTAAATAGTGTTTTTGATTGTGATTCCAACAAGACTACAATGAAAAAGATATGTTCGAAGGGCCTGAAGTTAGTTCAGCAAAAAGTCGAAAGATACGGCTTGTAATACATTGTTTACACTCTTCGAACAGTATAATATGTATTAATTTATTGAAATAAATATCGCTTGACCATTCAACGCTCGTAAATCACTATAATGCTTGTCTTTGACTAAAACTATCGTTAGGAATTAGGAGATATTTCACTGAATCGAACGGTGGTATATTCATCTACATAGCATGATTCACTGAACCGAAGATATGAAACCTGCAAAATACTATTCCACTATCGGCATAGTTTATAAATTTTTATATAGCGCTTGTCGAGAAAATAATAACAGAATTTAGAATTTAGCGACAAATTGTATATTTTTATGTATTTATATAGAAATAACTTTCAAATAGAGTTGTTAGATTATTAAAAAGTTTAGAAGCCTTTAATACCTTTCATTTTCTACAAATAATTAGCTTGTGGCCTCGTCAAAATTTACTGAATCTACAAGTTTAAATGGCGTAAATCCGCCCAGTGGCGGAAATCTTGGTGGGATGGGGGCGGCCGCCAAATTGACGAATTTTTGGAAATTTTGACGTAATGAAACAGGGCTAAAAACAGTCTTTTCGAGTGCAAATGGGGGGGGTATGACAGAAATTTGAAAGTTTTGTCAGAAATTTATGAGGCTTTGCCCCCCCCCCCACCAGAAAAAGTGAATTTCCGCCACTGAATCCGCCTTAATATTGCCAAAATGGGAAAAAAGTTGTAAGAACTAATTTATGAGATGTTCCAGATATTCCACATGTTCCGGACGTTCCAGATATTCCAGTTGTTTCAGATGTTCCATTCCATGTTTTAGACGTTGCCGCAATGATAGTATCAGTTCGATATTCGCAGTATCGCCCACCACTATCAGTTATAAATATATCAATTATAAAACAAACAATATACCAATATTTAAAACAAATTTACCTTCATTAACGTCAGCGACTTTGCTCTATTCTTTTAGACGTTTTTAGACGTTTTCTGGCTTTCAGAAAGGTTTTGAAATTTACAAAATATTGCAAAAATACAATGTGCAAGAAATGTTTGTTGTTTCGCTGTCGTCAATACAGTCGTTATAATGCAAATTTCAAATTTGACCAATCAGTGTTCACTATTCACGACAGTCCACCACATATTTTGAGATCAGTGAGGATGACCACTCATGAACAGTCAGCCATGCGCCCATGGTATTTGATGAACTTTAGACTTTGCTAGTGCATTCCTTTCGCCGGGTGTAAACAGGTGGGCGGAATTAGTACCCTCGCACAGTGCTTTGCGCCGTCGGCTCGGGGATAAACTTTAGTGATAAATCAGCATGTAAAAACTACAAGAAATAAGACAAACTAAATTACATTATATAAGACACACACTTAGCGTAAAAACAAGACCCTAAACGTTCAACATACCTTTTTCCCCGCTTCACTATGACATAAACGATCGAGATTTGAGATTTGCACTTATCAGTTTTTCAATATGTAAACAATGTGGCGATAATTATTTAGGTGTTTCGCGCCAAATGGCATAATTAAGATAAATTATAAAGATTATGTTACAGTTTGCCATATTTGATTATTCCATTAGTGTTCAACTGCAAGACTCCCCTTGGACTCCCCTTGGATGGGTAAAATTGGGGGCTATGGAGATTTAATAGCAAGAGGTGGGTAAAATTTGTGGGGGCTTGGAATTTTTTTAAATATCAAAATCATCAACCAGAGTATTAAGGCGATAAAGAAAGGAATACATGACTGTAAAATTAATGTAATCTAATTTTCGTGTCACAGAAAGTTAGGTAAGGTGAGCATTTTCACACATTTCTATTGATAGATTGGTACAGTACGAGGGCAGTTAAATTGTAATTTTAACTTTTCACTACTGTAATGGTCAGCCAGTTAAATAAGTATTTTACTGAGGGTACTGCCTGATGATTTTACATGTCAAAGAGAACTCCAGTTACGAACGATTGAATATTTTCTGAGCAAGCTGGAAGAGAAAATTTTGATTTTAGTGACGGAGGGAGATAACCAAAAAATATATCAGAGATATGAAGGATTATCCAAAAGCAAAAGATAGAGGAATAATTAGATGAAGAAAACTAATTATACAGACAGAGCGTTATGAATCTACTGGAATTTAGGATATATAAACTGATAAATATATACAAGAATATATAAATTTATATGCATCATAAAATCGTTTAAGCATTTAAAGTTGTCCTTCAGCAGCATATAAGATAAATACGTTCGGGGTTTGTTCAAGTGAGGCCAAAACTGCAGCTGTTTAAAATAGACTGTAAAAACACTTTTAAAAAGTCTTTATTGTCTATGAGTATCTAAGCTTTCGTCGTCAATGACATCATCAGAGATTGAGATGTGTTAAGATTAGGTGTTATATATACAATATGAATAATTAGGTTAAAAAATATGAATAATTAGGTTAAAAAATGTAAAAATGTAATTGTAAAGTAATTATGGGCTAACAGAACACAACAAAATATCCAAGTCAGCATCATTACTAGAGATAATGACAATGTCAACCTAAGACTCAAAGAGGCACTCTATATACGGAAAGGGAAGCCGACAATCAATTCCTGTGACAAATGCGCTGAACTCAGAGACTTACTATTCTAGCTTTCTTAACAATGGTTAATTGATTTCTGTTAGCCCATAATTACTTTACAATTACATTTTTACATTTTTTAACCTAATTATTCATATTGTATATATAACACCTAATCTTAACACATCTCTATCTGTGATGATGTCGTTGACGACGAAAGCTTAGATACTCATAGACAATAAAGACCTCCTTTTTTTTAAAGTGTTTTTTCCGGTCTATTTTAAACAGCCGCAGTTTTGGCCTCACTTGAACAAAGCCCGGACTTATTTATTTATAAAATCGTTTACCTTGAATATACTGCACTCTTTAATAGTAATTCAAAATCCATGTGATTTAAAAGTCCATGCGACTGCCCTTGTTTTAAAATATGAATTTTAAAACACTTCTTATACATTCATATTTTAAAAATCAAGGCAAAACCATGCATTTTTAAATTTAGTTCACCCATTGCAATGTACAGTTGTTCATCCCCCCGGTATGACATACCTTAACAAGGCCAGATTACCAAAATGTCTAATATTTTTGGAGTCACATGACCAGCATTTACCAGGGCCTTTGCTTCCTATACCAGAGTCTTTGAACTGTGCAAAGGCCCTGGGTATGAGGTTGTGAACCGTATGACTGCCAGTCATCGACCAAACTGCAAGACATCTGATTTTCAACTCTCCATTTGCTTTGCTAGCCCACTGTCCTGTGACACCAATGTAACTTCCCAAGTTTCTGCTTGACCAGATATCGATAGTCACATTAACATAGTCAGCATCTTCATCCAACTCTTTCTTGATCTGTAACACCTGAAGTATATATGCTTCAGCAATAGTTTCAGTGATGTTGCACTGAGTAAGGCATTCTATACCCAGAAAATGCAATGTTTTATTATTGTTGTATTTTAACCTTCCCTGGGCTTGGCCTACTTTCATGAGTGTTATGAAACCTTCATCAGTCACAATAGAGAAAGTTTGGCAGTCTAAAGCTATCATCTTTGCAATTGATATGCCTCAACAATAGTTTCAGTGTTTATATGCTTCAACAATAGTTTCAGTGACTTTGTGCCAAGTAGGCAATCTATACCTAGACTAGAAAATACATGCATACAGAAACCCCTCGCCTTGCTGACAAAATAGTCAAGGATCTGTTTTGTGAAAACATCTTATTTAAGAAGTTGGTTCAACCGACCCAACAGAAAAGGTCTGACACCAGTTTCCTACAGAAGAATAAGTGCTCTTTAAGACTAGGCACTATGTAGTCTTGAATTGTGGTACCAATAATGGTATATCTGGGGTTCTTTACCAGCTATCATACTCAACATCAAAACTCAACATCAAAACGGCGTTACAGCACTATTTACCGTTCGAATCTATATTCTGTGATCTAAATACCCTAAAAACTATCAAACGATCAAGGGTTGGTTTGTACTTAACATTTGTTGGACTACATAGCAACAAATCACGTCACATGATTTGTCATGTGACTGCTTTTCATCAAAAATCCGCTTTTCTGTCAATTGCTGTAAGTTTAAATTCCGGTTGAAACGTTATTTAACGTTTGATTCACATTATAATAATTTAAAGCAACACTTTTGGTCATATTCTATCCCATTTCGTCAAAAAAATTCATTGCCATTGGAAAACGTTAAAGAAATAGCCGAAATAAGCACATCTGTATAAACTTGTACCAAGGCTCTTTGCTTGGCTGCTCCTTACATGAAACCCTATAACGTGCCAAATTTGCGAAAATAATGAAAACTTTTAAAACATTATAATATATGACTAAACAATAGACTGTAGTGTGTCTCGAAATTTTACTGAATTAATATATTTTACCTTAATATCTACTTTTTCCACACAACATTGCCCAGTGTTATTTTTGTCATTCGGTCTCGGAATCACTGGAGTCACCATAGACATATGATTCTTCGTTGAAAGGGTTGCTGCATCCTTCGTCGGCGATGCATAGACAAGCTTTGGTGCATGCAAGGTCATTTCTCTTACAGAAACAATTCTGTTTGCACTCGGAAGTTGTGCAGCGGGCATGTTGTCAATTCCACTATGCCTTCTAGGACAGGATTTTGTGTCATCAACACAGGAACTAGCTTTCCATCTTCCAATTTCCAACCATTTCCTGCTGAGGCGGGCATGCTTTGAAATGGATGTAAGGCTCTGTTCCAAACACATGCTTGAAAATTTGCTCTCTTGATGTGATGAGAAAGGCTTTCTGATGTGGGAGGGAGTTCTTCACTCTTCAAATTTCGTTGACAAAACAGAAAGTATCGGGCATCATCAGAGTTCAGAAATTCTTGTGCAGATGTGTAAATGGAGCAGATGAAGGATTCTGTGACTTTCTGTTCAAACTCTTCAATGACTGGATTTTTACCAAAATTGCTGAGGTCCTGCTGTATCCACTCATTCTTGAGCAGCACATTCAAGGCTTTCTTCTTTCCTATTCCAGACAAGGCACTGGTGCAGTCACATCCTGTTAACACATGAAACAATAGCAGGTGAATGTCATGGATGGGTATGTATCTCTGTCTGTCCTTTACACCAGTTTTAAACCATAAATCTTGGCAGGACAAATCTTCAAAGTTTGCCATTGAAAGCACAGAGACATTGTGTCTGGTGATTGTATCACAATTCTTGGGTGGGTGTTGGCAGCCTGGTGTCCGCTTCTTCGTGATCTGAGCATACATTATGCTCAACAGCCACTGAGCTTTGAGTTAACGACACTGTCTTTGATCCATCCCTAAATCCGCCAGCCAAGACGACCTTTTCCGAGGAGCTTAAACGTTGTGGTAGCTGTTCACTTAAAGTTTCACAAAGAAAATTCGCCAGGTTTTCTTTGTTTTTCAGGTTTGAAATGTATTTCGCCCATTGCTTCAGAACTCGTGTTGATCCACTGTGGATGATTACTTCCAGGGAGCTCGATTCCCCTCTCTTTGTGCGTTTGTCTGCCTTCACTGAAACAGAGGGATATTGGTCGGAAATTAAGTCCACTATTGTGCAGCCTGGTCGGTGTAATGCGGTCAACACAATCTCTTCGTACTTCTTAGACAGCTCCTTATAGGTTGAACACCCTGCAGACTGATCATCTGTATAAGAGACATTGCATCAATTAGACAGGCTGAAGAAAACTGTGAAGCAGGCAGGCTTGAACTGCAATTGACATCCTTTTCTAAGAGTGGCATTAAGGTGCTTTTAGTTGTTTTCCGAAAACTACCGTCAGGGTGTGCAATCGGCACACTGCACAGTTCATAAGAAAGCACTTCTTTCAGATTGATATCCCTGTTTTTTGCGGCCACGAAAGGGTGACCGAAAAGCTTTTGATCAGCATTAATGGATACGATCTTTTCTTTTTGGCTCTTTATTGTAACATTCTTTGCCACTGAACTGAACGATTTGATTTTGAGCTTATGGATTGGATCCCAGAAATTAATTTCTTTACTCTGAACTCTAGATGAAACAAAGCCCTACATGCTTTGTTTTCCTAACTCTGCTGCGTCAAATAGTCTTTTAGCCTCAGTATCTGGTAGAACAACACCTGTGGCAAGATTACTCAAAGGTCACAGTGCTTCGTTGTCGGTAATGTCATCGCGATAAAGTACAAGACCTAAAGAAGGATGATTGTTGTGTGACGTGAAGTCAGTCACGTCTTGAACATTCTTAATTTAGGACATTACATAATTATTCTGATTCATGCTTATGCTATATTTATCGTCTTATGTAATATCTAAAAATAGTATGATGTAATGTTCTATTAATATCTTGCGGACAGTATATAAGCAGCGAAAGCTTAAGCTAGTTTTTAGAATTAAAAAGTATTAGAAAAGTATCAGAGGCAAATATAGAAGTTGTTGTTGTTCAAGAAGAAGAATTTGTTATTGTTGGAGTTAATTGTTGTTGTAAAGACTTAAAGGAAAGGAACTATATACTAAAGTGTAAAAGGACAAAGTCTGAAAAGCAAAGCTGTGTCATTGTCAATAGACAGATAAGTTTAAACTATCCTGATTCTTCGTTCTTTTAGTTTTCTTTTATTAATAAATAAAGACTCTTCTGTTTTTAAGTCTTTCTTGTTACGGTGAATGTAACAATTGGGGGCTTAGGTGGGAAATGTAAAACGAACAGTATTTTGTAATATAAATCAGCTTAAGGAATAAGAATACAAATGATTGTAATTAGTTGTGATTTGCGATGTTGAAATTTGAACCAGAGCAGTTTATGGCCAACCTTGATTCGGGGGTGTTTGAAAAATTAATCAAAGGCCTTCGAGGCCGACTCACGGATGAGATCAAATTAATTAAAGGGGGATATGATTTACAGCAGTTTTTTACAAATGGGAACCGTGCAAGGGCAAGGACATTATTTGGTAAAACACAACATAATATAAAATGTTCCCGAACTGGGGCGAAGATCTTACAGGTTTAAACAGTTTAATTTTAACGACATCCTCGATTTTAACAATAAGAGACCGGTCATCATTTATGGAAGGGGGAGGGGGAGGGAAAAAATAAGGGGGGCATATGCAGAAATAAATGACTAGAAGGGGGGGGGCTATTAAATTTTTTCAAGAAAATGACAGGGGGGAGGGGTTGCAATTAAACTTGAAGGAATTTGCTTAATAACCTGGTATCCATTTGGTTGTAAATGTTGCAACTAAATCATGGTCACTGATGTGAAATAGTCTGGATTCATCTTGTCTTGTGTGTGCTGTATGCAAATCAGTCTTTACGGATTGCAGACTAGTTAAATTGACAATGTATTATTACATCAGCTCTTGATGTGGTTAAATACATTTAAATTAAGCAGTTAACGGCGTTTGTATTATGCAGGCCACATCCGCTGAAGGGAGTCTGTGATGTCATATCGATCAAAGGGGGTTGTTTCATGCCTTGTGATCAGTGCTTGGGTCTGGGTATTCATTTTGCCATTGTATGCTTTGCCTAGCTGCAGCAAGTTTTGCGCTTCGATTCCTTTTCCCGACCCACCCACCCATGTTCCTTCTAAAAGATTTTATCTGGTAGCTAGTATATGTCATTTTATTTTATATAATTTTAAATCTCACATAAAATAGGATGTATAGACCACTATACATTGTATTTCGCAGGTATGCCTTTGCAGAATTGTCATTGCTATCTCCTTTTGCTGCTAATTTTACTGATTGTTGCTCTCATTGTTGTCGCGCAGCTGCTATGGCAATACTTCGTACCATCAAGTCTAGTTGCAGCCTTAAACATGGTTACAATCGCCCAGACCAAATGGAAACCTGATTTTAGTGTTATATATAAAAATACTCCTCTTTTAATTATAATTTTCTGCTAATAAATATATATTTTTGGTCGACGTTAATATCTTGCCAGTTCCATATTCTTAACTTATTTAACAAGACGCCGACTCGGCGTTAACCTCGGGTCGGTGGATAGGGAATCGTCTTGTAAATATCCAAAAATTGTATAAATCACGATAGTTTAATAGTTCACTAGTATAAATGGTGAATCAGTTAATCAAAGCTCCGTTTTAATATTTTATTGACAATAATTACTGGCCCTCATCAAACCTATTGTTTTCTCTCTGCATTATATCAGCGAAAGTCGAGAAGTTTTCATTTAACGTTCTACTGAAAAACGGGAGCGGCCTTTTTGGCTGTATAGGGAAATTCCGGCTCAGGGGTAAATGTTTATACGCGTCATATTCTATGTACGCGTTAAAATAGCACACAACATTATTAAAAATAATGCAGCGTGCATCAGTGCACACAGACATTATTAGCAATAATGCATCTTCGTCACCCTGACATGTACACGCGATAACGTGAACATCCCAAGATGAGAAGGTGACAGTGCTAAAGGCCCCCCATACGGTGTCGTCGGGTGCCTGAAGCACTGTTGGAAACGGTCGCTGTGAGTCTTTTCAGTTCAATTTTATAGAGAAATAGTTTCGTTTGCGCTTGTGGGATTTTATCCTAGATATACGCATGTGCAGAATACACCATAAGTTCTATTCCCGTGTTTATCCAATACGCTATTTGAGTAAACCTTATCATTAATGATAATATGTAAACTAGAACACTATAATTGACCTCCGCTTGTGGAGATTTTAATTTAGGGCGATTAATTAAACTGAAATCTGTTCTATCACAATGCACTACAGTGTCTATGGTTAGGTCTATATGCATGTCCTCACAAATGTCTAGTGTAACGTTGGATAGGTTCATTGTCATACGGTCCCGACAAGCAGCAACGTACAGTAGTCTTCCAGCCGAAAATAATTACTTTTGATTCGGGTCAGTAATTATAATAGATAACAAGTGAAAGTTGGCCGCGGTATTCCCATGCTATGCATACGATGTATTGTACATTATATCAACATATACTCGAGAATAGTTGTCCAGCTAAACATGTATGTCAAAATTATCACATCTTCTGGTTTTAAATCAACAATTCTGACGGATTTTGTGCAAGGACAGCTTCGGGTTCCGTTTCGCTTTGGCCGATGCTTGCCGGAAGTACACTTATTTACCGGAAGTTGTCGTCTCCTCCGCAGGCCCTTCGATCTTCGACTACGCGCGCGGCTCGACACAAATGAAAAACAATAAAAAAAAAAATAGGAGCCGAATTTAAGACCTCGGTGTCGTACCGACCCGAGGTAATAATTAATACTATAACGCCTGCATGGGTATCCCCATTTGACGAGTAAAAATGAAAATGGGGGGGGGGTCAAACTATAACGCCTGGGTATCCCCATTTGACAAGTAAAAATGAAAGTAGGGGGGGGTCAAAGAAAAATATTCTAATATGCAGGGGGGCATCATTAAATTTCTGCCATTTAGGGGCATTTTTAAAAATTTAGAAAAGAAAAAATTCCCCTCCCCCCCCTTCCATAAATAATGACCTGTCCCTAACCAATATCAACAGTCTTGAAAAAACAATCTGATAGATTATTATAAAACTACACACCATCAAAGCAAATCTATATAAAAGTACAATAACCGTAGCTGTCAGGTGTGTATAGTGTTCAACAGAATAACTATAAGTATAAAGCTGTACCTAATACAGTCAGTATCAGTACATCCAATGACTGTGGCTTTCCGATATGTACAGTGTTAAACAGACTGACAATTTAAACATGATAACTATAATAAGTATAAAGCTGTCCCCAATGTAATATATAAAATGACCGTAGCTGTCCGATCTAGAGTGTTGAACAGGACAATTTAAACATGATAGCTATAAGTATAAAGCTGTAACCAATACAGTACATGCTGCATCAATGACCGTAGCTGTACGATGTACAGTGTTGAACACAAAAATTTAAACAGAACAACTATAAAACAGCACCCTTATTGATACAACGGTACAGGTAGCTGTCCAATGGCAGTACAGTGTAAGTAAATCCAGGTGGTAATGCTGCCTCAGTGTCCAATGCTCTTTTTCTTTTTAGACCATTTATAATTGTTACCAAACTGTGAATAAACATAAATATCTACATTGAAAAGGGAATGGCTGCAAAAATTTCAATATCAGTCCCCCACACACCACTGTTCCTCATGTTGCTTGTGGCTAAATAATGATCTACTGAACTATTCATATATGGTCTAAGGACATGTTCTATACTGTTCATGTGATCCACTATTTTTTGTCTTAAAATCATGTGGTATGTTTGTCTACCGGTTAAAATATACGACAGTGCTCTAAATAAACAATTGCCATCCCCAGTAATCCGACAGAGTTTCGTTGGATTAACTAGTGGTTTTGATGTTGTTTCATTGCGTCTAAATATAAGTGGGACATTCATCAAAGAGCATAAGGACAGCTGAAATTCTCCTGATAGAGGATAAAAATGAAGCGATTTATCGATACACTGCTGAGACTCGTCCGTGCCAGCTGATACTAGGCTACAGTGCAAGCGCAGTCATATGAAATATACAACGGCAACGTGACTTTAATACCAAGATTTTGTGTCGTGTTGCTTCAAGTAAGACAAATATGTCCTTTGTATTCCGTGACAGCTAAAACATGAATTATTTAAATAACATGATTAAATTTGGTAAACAAAAAACTCTTTCAATCGACAGAAACTATGGAAACAGTGTTGA